CTGAAGGACGTGGAAGAGGATGGAGACCGCATCCGAAACCAGAAGATTCTTTTATTGGATTCGAAGGAAAATGGCACGAAGATGATACATTTGAGTATCCTTGGACACGAGAAGATTGCGGTCAGTTACCCAAAAGAGGCCCTGAGGATTTTGAGGCAAGATACTCTCTCCAGAAAAGGTATAGGGTAATATTACAGTTAATTTAGTATAAAGCCCCAAATGAAAATGTTTGTATGCTGTATGGTTGAAGATTGCGTTGCCATCAAGTCAATTCTGATTCATAGCCACTCTACAGCACAGAGTAAATAGAACTGTCCCTGTGGGTTTCTGAGACTGTAATTCTTTACAGGAACAGAAAGGCTCATCTTTTGCCTATTTTGTCTAGTTGGTGGGTTCAAACTGCTGACCTTGTAGTTAGCCCAGCGTGCAACTACAATACCACAAAGCTTTTGTCTAAAAAGAATTTTTTTTTAAGTAATTTATTTATATTCTATTAGTGGTAGTAAGCATTTATTTTTATAGTAAATCATGTTGATGGCTAGAGTTTTTTTAAGTTGGCATTTTTCTTTGTAACTCATTGTGCCTCTATGAATTGACTTTGAGGGATTATATTCGAATATGCCTTTCTGTTCTGCACTTAAAGTCATGGTGTCTTAACATTCTACACATGTAAATGCTCACTTTCTTATCTCCATTGCAAGTATAAACTATTTTATGTCAACACAGGTTTCCTGATGGTCATGATTTCAGAAATGAATTTACATCAAAAAGACCTTCAGACATGGAGCGATATGGCAACAGAGAGCATGTTGTGTACCCAGTCCAGGATACTGGATCTTCTCTTCCACCTAAGCAAGAAAAGAAAAGTCCACGAATGTCTGCATCACAAATTTGGCCATGTGTTTCAAATAGCCGGTTTGAGATCTCCTTAGTAACGGAGATGGTCAATGACTACCACAGCAACTATCAAAATCCCTCAGGAGTAGATCAAGGCTTTTTTGATACAGGGAATCAGCTATACTCTCAGGAAGAGGATGAGCAATTCAGTTTTCCAGTAGTCCCTGAAAATAGTGCACCAGGCAATTTTGAGGCTGAAACAGGGAGAGAGACTAACGAGGAGCTATCCAGAGACCCTCTTGAAGAAACCAAGATAGACCACGCTACCAGTTCTCAGTCAGATAAAATGGATCTTGAGTCCTTTTTTAAACAGATAAGAGAAACAGTTTCAAGAAATAAGAGCAGCCTTGATCTGAGAAAAAGATCTTCACGTGTGAAACGTTGCCCTTTGGGTTGTAAGAAGCAATCACTAGGGGTTGTTACATTTGAAACGAACAAAATGATAGCTCTATCCAGGTATTATCTTTGTTACTCCCCCCCTTATATTTAATAACTGTATCTTTAGCTTTATTTATGGCTTTGAAAATGGAACTATTAGTGTGTTTAGAGTCCATTGGGAATAGGGGTGGGGAGACTGCCTGGATTTTTTTCAAAAGAGCCTTGTAAAGAACGTGAACTCGTGTAATTTGTCATGGGGTCGAGTCCATGTCTGCGTATTTCCACATCGTATCTTAGGCTGATTCTTGGGTACAGGACAGTCCATTGAGTTATTCCTCTTTGTGAATTCAAATGTTTTTATCTTGCCAGCTTTCCCTTATTCAGGGTTAAGATGGGTAGAACTCCAGGAGAGCTATTCTTTGCTTTGTGTCTCAGAGATTGTGGACCCTGTTGTCTAAAATTCAGGGAATGTTTGAATTGGAAGGGACCTTAGCAAGCTGATTCTACAGAGGAAGAAAGTGAGGCCCTGAGAAGTGAAATGGCTAGTGTAACTGAGCAACTGGAACTCAAATTTATGTATTTCTCCCCTCTTCCTGCCTCCAACTCCAAGAGGCAGGAGCCTTAGCGTGGTTCTTATTATTATTTCAAAATGATGGGTTCAACTGACTATTTTCTTAGGAAGAGGAAATAAGATTATAATCCAGAAAGATGCTGCAGTTGATGGTTGGTTAATCTCTTAACGTTTCTTTAAAGCAAGAACAGACTGTTGCAGTATAAGTTACAGCTTCTTAAAGTAGGCTTACGAGGGGGTACCCAAAAAACACTGGAAAAAAGCATCACTGTGCGGAGTTTTCATAGTACAGCATTGAACAACTCACTCTGAGTTTAGTGCACCCAGTGGCATCACCTGGGAATGTTCTCTCTGGTCACAGTGAATTTTTTCATAAAACCAATTTCACTTGAACCTTTTTTTTTTGTGATTGCTGATTTAAGAGAACAGTGTGTGGCTGTGAAATTTTGTTTCCTGCTCGGAAAACATGCCACAGAAACTGTTGTGTTTTTGAATACAGCTTATAAGGATAGCACTATGGGAAAAAAGGGTACGCGTGGCTTTCTCATTTCAAAAAAGGTGAAATGTCGACTGATGACAAAAGCTCACTTTGTTCTGGAATTCCGTCAGCTTCCTGGATGAAAATGTCGATTTGTAGGTCACTTGTTGTTCATTCAACCAGGTCAGACTTACTATTTAGAAGTTCTGAAAAAATTGCGTAACAGTGTATGACAAAAAAGGCCTGATTTGTGGCAGACGGGGGACTGGTTTTGCCACCATGACAATGCATCTGCTCACGTAGCCATCTCAGTGTGTCAGTTTTTGGTAAAAAATAGCATGTCTCTTGCCCCACGCACCTGACTTTGTTCCGCAAATAAAGAGGGACATGAAAGGACAGCGATTTGACAATATAGAAGAGGTGGAAAAAACGAGGAAGGTGTTGTCAGCCATCCAAACAGATGAGTTTAAAAAATGTTTCAGAGAATGGAATTGCAAATTTGACAAATGTATTAAGTCTAATGGCAAGTACTTTGAAAGTGATAAGGTATTGTAAAAAAAAATTAAATGCTTTGAAACAGATTCCGGTGTTTTTTGGGTACCCCCTTGTACATATATATAATTTATGTGCTCATATAAAGCATTTATAATTATAGAAAATTGGATACACAGGAAGAAAAAATCACTGATAATCCTACTAATGTGGGACAATTTTATTAACCATTTTTGTTTTCTCTCTATGCATGGTTTTCATAATACGTTTTTATGTCTTTCGTGTATTAAGCCTTAAATCATTTTTGTGCTACTTTATTTCTTAGTAGTTCTTAATTTGTAGAGCACAATGACTGCTGTAAACATCAAATTTAAGAATATTACCATAAGCAATTTTTCTAACTTGTTATGAAAATGAAACATACAAAGGGTTTAAAGAATTGTATTGTGAACACCTCCATATCTACTCCTTAGAATCTGTAATATGGAATTCTTGTAGTGTAGTGCTTGGTTGTGTGTTGGGCTGTGATCTGCATAGTTGACAGTTCAAAACCACCAGAAGCTCCGAGGAAGAAAGACTGGGTTTTCTACCCCTGTAAACAGTTAACAGTCTCAGAAACCCACAGGGGGTCGCTATGAGTCAGCACTGACTCCATGACACATTCTACAATTTAAACATTTTACTCTAATTTTATAGCCACCTGTCTGTTCCTCTGCCATTTCATCGCATTTTTTCAGTGCACGTCACAAGAAGTTGCAAACATCCCTGTACTCCCTTTTAAATACTTCAGTGTTTAATTTTTATTAACAGTCTGGGATTCTTTTTTTATGAGATAAAGTTTATATATAGTGAAATGTACAAAAATCTAACTCTATATTTAAAATTATAAGAAAGCAGGGCTGCCCCGCACTTATTAGTAACGTGTGGTATACTTCAAAAGAGAGTAAATACATTGGTCGTAGTGCTTGTAAAGAGTGCTAGACATTTGGGAGGGTTGTAATTTTAATAGACCTCATTAGTGGTATTGAGGCCGGTTCATTTCACACTGAGAAGTAGAAGCTTGACCTATATCATGTGTCACAATAATGAACTTCCCAAAGGGAAGCTGCTGCATCTTTTGTCCTGGGTTTATATATCATAATTTTGTGAAATCTCATGATTTGTCAGTAGGGCCTGGCAGAGAATAGGCATGCCCTTTATCCCCTCCCACCCTTTTATTTATATATTTTAATTAAAAAAATAATTTTATTTGGGGCTCATACAGCTCTTATCACAATCCATACATCCAACCATTTTGTCAGGCATATTTGTACATTTTCAAAACACTTTCTTTCTACTTGAGCCCTTGGTATCATCGGCTCCTCATTTTTTCCCTCCCTCCCCCATCTCCCCTTTCTTATGAACCCTTGATAATTTTTTTTTTCATTTCTTACACCAGACCACTGTCTCCCTTCACCCACTTTTCTGTTGTCTGTCCCCCTGGAAGGGGATTATATGTGGATCATTGTGATGGGTTCCCCTTTTGTCCCCCCACCTTCCCCCTCCTGGTATTGCTACTCTCATTATTCGTTGCTACTTCATAACTATAATTTTGCTACTATTATGAATTGGGCAACAGCCTGTGAAATAGTTGTTTGACACACAAAGGGGTCGCCACACACAGGTTGAGAACCACTGAACTAGAGGAAAGTTAAATGTTTTCTGACTGGCTCCTCTTTTCCTTGTGACGCTTCTATAACTCTTAATGGGAGTAGAAAGCCTTGCCTTTCTTCAAAGAGTGGCTGATGGTTTCGAAACTGCTGATCTTGCAGTTTGCAGCCCAGTGTGTAACCACTCCCCCAGCAGAGTTTCTGGGATGCCATCTAGGTAGGTTAAATATTAATTACCCCGAGCGCGCGCGCACACACACACGCACACACACACACACGTTTCTCTGAGTTGCTAACTATTCAAGCAGTGATTGTTTCGGTGTGATCAATGGGCAGGTTGGCTGCTGGCAGATTGCATTCAAGGAGATGCCATCAGGAGTCTTGTGTAAAAAAAGCAAGGGATGCTGACATGAAAAAATAGAAGTCTTCATAGTCCCTTCCCCTTAACTCCAAATTGTCTAAATGTTTTCTGCAGATTGGAGCCAATGATGTAATAATGAATGTGCTTTGTGAATTTGTGACAAATGCCATTTGTTGGAAGACAATGTGAAAGGGCAACTTTGTATTTGTCATTTTGATTTTGTCACAAGCTTCCAGAGGGCAGGCTTTTTGTTCGTTCGCCTTGTGGTCTTTGCTGGTTTTTCATGTATTCGGTCTTTTGATTGGGCTCAGATGTGTGTACAAGAGGGAAGACAGGCCTTATTTTTTTAAGTGAGAATTTTTAAACTTTGATTTTTGTACATTTTATATAAAAGTGGCAAATATGTGAGTGATCTCTAATTTGAAAAGGAAAAGTCAAAGCCTTGAGTCTGTAGCTAACTTTTATACATATTTCAAGGCACATAATCTAGTGACATAAGAAAAGAAAAATCTTTTAAAAATCATAGCTGTCTTGCATTTTGATGTTCTTCTTACAGATTTATATTTACTACAACATTTGTAAATTATTCTAGGGCTGCTGCTACCTACTCTAAAGAGAGACAGATGTCACTTGATTTGATTGCTTCTAGCAAGAACGACGACAAATTTCATCCGGTATTTGAACATCTTAAGGATGCTCCGAAAATTGAGAGGAAAAATCCAGAACAATTTTCTCAGGATATAATAACAACAATCCACCAAGTTAAAGGTTGGTGATATTTTGCATATGCATTAAGGATAACAGAAAAACAGCTCAAGGCTTTTCCTGAACGTAGGTAATGATCTATGATACCACTCATATTCCATTATCAGTTCCATCACTGAGTAGGAAATCGGCTGGAGAGAATGTCAAAACCTAGTTGCTCTGTTGTTCCAATAACGTGTGCTTCAACGCATAGTTGTTTAGAGACCAGAACATAGAAAGAGATTTCTACCTAAGACATGTTTACTGAGAGCAGCAAGAAATAAGCGCTGGTGCCCTACCAGGGAGGAGGAAACCACAAAAAACAAGGCAGCAGGAAAAGTCTAGACATTTGGGACTCTAGGTCCTTTGTTGATATTCTTCAAACCACCTGAGGGCATTACTGGGTCTCTCCAGACCTTGAGGAATGACACCAGGAGATTTGGTATACTTCATTTAAGACATCAAGGAATGGAATAAAAAATTCTTTGAAGATTTACATTAAATTCTTAGATTTTGTTTTATTGACTGGCAGTTTCATTAATTGGAAAATTCAGTCATGTAGAATGACTTCCCCAAATGTAGTATTTAAACTGGAAGTTTTAAAGAACTGCAAAAAAATGTCATATATTTCTTGCTCAACAATTTCATTCATCATTTTACCGACATAAAACACTTCAAAATGGAATTGTTTTCTCTGCTTCTCACAAATTAGGGCATAGGTGTACTTGAAGCAGACCATTTGTCTGAAGTCGTTTGGCATCCCCCCTCCCAGCTCCAGGTCCTCTCAGCCAATGGAAGTAGTGATTTTTAGAAGGGTATCCTAGAAAAGTCCAGGAGGTTGTCCCTAAACAGGAACAGTAAAGGAGGGGTAAGAATTGCAGCCCCTATCTTGGATACCCTGCCCCACAAGTAAGCAGGCATCTGAACTAGAAACAGAATCCTTGGAGGAATGAATCAGATGTTTTTTTACTGTTGTGTGGGCTTGGGGCTTGGGAAGCACTGGAGCACGATGAACTGGTCTGAACTAAATTGAGGGCTCACATATTTTCAAGAGAAAATAAAGGATGTGTGTGTGTGTGCGTGCTTTAAGTAGTTCCTTCTTCCTGTGTTTTTATATACTCTTGCAAGTGGAATCAGTTTTACATAGCAAATAAAACCTTTCGATTTCTTTTTCAGAAAATTATTTTCCATTGCCTGATAATACACTGCATGAGCGTTTCTCAGAACTCCAAGCTGAAACTGGACTTGTGATACCAAGGAGCTCATATTCTAAAATGCACAGGTAATGCTTTAACACATGGAAATAAACCTCAGAACAGATTCAGGAAGGTGTTGCCTCTTGACCTTGCTCACCTTGGCTTGCTGTAGACTCTAGGACTACATAGTCTCCTTAAAAACAGGACTAACCCAAGCACGTCCTGGGGCAGTATCCTTTTATGGAATAGGTTGTTTCGAAGCCACTGGCTAGCATTGTTTAAATGCGAAAGATTTTGCTAAAATTTACCTAACTTAGATTCAGGAGTCCTGATGGTTTAGTGGTCTTTAACTGCAAGGTCAGCAGGTCAAAACTACCAGCTAGGCCAGAGGTGGTTGAAAGACCGCTTTCTACTCCTGTACAGAGTTAGAGTCTTGGAAACTCATGAGGCAGTTCTACCATGTACTACTGGGGTTGCTAGGAGTTGGCATTGACTTGATGGCAATGAGGTTTATTGTGTTTTTAACTTTGAGTCTGTGGTGTCTATAGTAGTTGCCTATTGAAGTGATCACTGGAAGAATGAAAGACATTGAAATCATGGCTTGCTTCACATAGCGATTTCTGGATGAAAACATATGTCTTCTATTTTCACTTGACCAAACAGGTGGTGTTTTGTGAGCTAAGTTGAATCATTGTTAGAATACACTATGAGTTAGTTAATTGTGCCAACCTGGCCGATAATCATATGTGGGGCTAATTGAAAGGCGGAGGGATAAATGGGTGGTGAGCCTTGCCTTTCTAGTTCTCGGGTCTCTTGCTTTGTGATGGTTGCACCAGGGTGCAGCTGCCTTAGCAGTTCCCTGCTTCAGCTGGCAAGATTGACTTCCTACAAGACATCCCCAAGGAGAAGCCACATGGACCTATCCCGATGCAGCCCTGGGTGCTGGAGCAGCCGTGTGGAGACCCCTGCCAGTGCTGAGATGCTTATTCATTCACTGATTCAGCTTCCCTCCTGCAGTCGGTATCATTGCCTCTTTTTGTGAGGTGGAGGACTTTGTGGACTGGTGTTGGGTTAATGGGTTAATGTTGGACTTGTGGGCTTGGGCAGCATTGGGTTGGGATGTTTTCGAGATGCACACTTTCTTTACATAAAACTCTCTTATGCTTGAGTTGCTGTGGATTTGTTTCTCTAAAGTACCCATACTAATACACTATATCACTGGAGCAGAGTGTAGTTTAAGGCTATACAGACTGGTGATTTGAGAACCATATAGCTCTGGTGACACTATAGTTGAAGTGCTTGGTCTCCAACCAAAAGTTTCTCAACTTAAACCTACCAGATGCTTCATGAGAAAAGAGTTGGTTGACTTCTGTAAAGATTTACAGTCTTGGAAGCTCTACGAGACAGTTCAACTCTGTCCTATAGGGTCACTATGAGTCAGGATCAACTTGGTGGCAGTGGGTTTGGTTTTGGGCTGTCATTTGCTTAGTAAAGCTTCACTATACTGTTGTTCATGGGATCTGTATGTTCTGGGAGACTGCCGGGTAGATGAAAAATCACCTAGTCGAGTTTCCTTTGCTTCCTCCAAATCACAAGCTTTATTTCAAATCCTGTCCGTTGGAGAATGGCAGCATACTGTCAGAATATAACATAATCATTTACTTTTAATATGCTTTTGATTTTAGGACAATTTATGTACCTCTGGTGGGCTTTCCAAATGAAACTGTGGGCCATGAACCAGAACAGGTAAGAAAATACAACTTTGGGCGAAAGATTATCTTCTTCGTAGTATACTAGTGGGAAAAAACTTGGTGATGCATTGTAAAAAAAAAGTAGAGACAAGGATTGAGACCCCCAAATCTGACATTTGAAAAGTTCTCCAAGTGATTCTGATTATCGGTTAGGTTGAAGAGAGAATACAGATAAAACAAGATAAAAACTAATTATATTCCCAAAGAGGTATGGTCTCTAAGGAAAATAGCTTTGTGGACTTGACATAAAATTACAGCCTTTCATATTTCTTCCAAAGCATTTTACACTGTAAAATCTGCAAAAAGTATGTTTGTTACTTATGAATACATTCTGTAGGACTGTTTTGGACAAATAAGTTATACATGGTATGAATACCAAAGGACAGAATTTCATTTTTTTATTATTGTTCCATTTTTCTTTTTTCTTAAATCATTTTATTGAGGGCTCATTCAACTCTTATCACAATCCATACAAACATCCATTGTGACAAGCACATTTATACATTTTAAAATGTTTTTAATTTTTAAAAATCATTTTATCGGGGACTCATACAACTCTTATCACAATCCATACATACATCTATTGTGCCACGCACATTTGTATATTTGTTACCATTATCATTCTCAAAACATTTTCCTTCTACTAGAGCCCTTGGTATCAGCTCCTCATTTTCCCCCTCCCTCCCTCACGAACCCTTGATAATTTATAAATTATTAATTGTATTTTCATGTCTTACACTGTCTGACGTATCCCTTCACCCACTTTTCTGTTGTCCATCCCCCAGGGAGGGGGTTATATGTAGATCATTGTGATTGGCTCCCCCTTTCTCCCCCACCTTCCCATTCCCCTCCTGGTATCACTACTCTCATTATTGGTCCTGAGGGGTTTATCTACCCTGGCTTCCTTGTGTTTCCAGCTCTTATCTCTACCAGTGTACATCCTCTGGTCTAACAGGATTTATAAGGTAGAACTGGGATCATGATAGTAGGGGGAAGGAAGCATTAAAGAACTAGAGGAAAGTTGTACGTTTCATTGGTGCTATACTGCACTCTGACTGGTTTGTCTCCTCCCCAAAACCTTCTGTAAGGGCAAGTCCAGTTGCCTACAGATAGGCTTTGGGTCTCCACTCCACACTCCCCCTCAGTCAGAATATGATTTTTTGTTCATTGATGCCTGATACCTTATCCTATCGACACCTTGTGGTCACACATGCTGGCTGGTGTACTTCTTCCATGTGAGCTTTGTCGCTTCTCAGCTAGATCGCCGCATGTTTATCTTCAAGCCTTTAAGACCCCAGACACTATATCTGTTGATAGCCAGGCACCACCAGCTTTCTTCACCAAATTTGTCTTCAGCGATTGTGTTGGGAAGGTGGGCATCATGGAATGCCAGTTTAATAAAACAAAGTGTTCTTGCATTGAGGGAGTACTTGAGTAGAGGCTCAATGTCCATCTGCTACCTTAATATTAAACCTATAAATATATGCTCATAGATCTATTTCTCCATCATCATAAATAAATATATTTACATGTGTACATGAGAATTTCATTTTTCATTGCCCTTTTCTTAACTGCAGAATGTAAGAAAGATCATAGGGAATTTTAACTGACAAAATCATGGCAATAACATTGAAAAAGCATGGATTTAAATTTCTTTATTGTTCAAAGTTATGTGTGGCTCTCCCCCAGCACCTTCCTGTCCCCTCCTGTTTTGGCCAATTAGAAAAATTATCGTAACTTCTTGTTGCAGTGGGAAAAAATGATTATTGTTTTGGAACAGTATATCAGGTCCTCGAAGAACTGCTAATTTCTTCATTAAGATTAAAGTATATTTGTAGAAAAGATTTTAATACATTTTGGATAGAATTTTTAAACTTGAACTCACAGGGTTGGTTTATTGAATGAATCATATTTTCAGTAAACTTTTAATCATCAAATTAGTATAACCAATTTAGAGCAAATTTGAAGATTTTTTAAAAATTAGATACTTTTATTGGGGGCTCTTACATCTCTTATCCCAATCCGTACTATCATTCATTGTGTCAAGCACATTTGTACATATGCTGCCATCATTTTCAAAGCATTTTCTTTCTACTTGAGCCCTTTCTATCAGCTCCTCATTTTCCCCTTCCCTCCCCCACCCACTCTCCCTCATGAACCCTTGATAAGTTATAGATTATTATTTTCATATCTTACATCATCCTCTGTTGCCCTTCACCCACTTTTCTGTTGTTCGTCCCCCTGGGAGGTGGTTATATGTTGATCCTTGTGATCAATTTCCAAATTTGAAGATTAAAAAGAAATGAATGTAATTTAACCACTTAACAAAATTGATACTTTATATTTCTGTTTGTTAAATACTTAAGATGCATCCATTTTTTGTTGTTACTTAAGATATATGTGTTATTTTTAAAATATGTATGTGTATTACTTTGAACATATGAGGGTGTTTGTGGGAAAATTCCATGATCTTTGTGGGGGGGCTTCTTTTTTTATTTAAAAGATCATTTTATTGGAGGCTCTTACAGCTCTTATAACAATCCATACTTAATTTGTATCAAGCATATTTTTATATATGTTCCCATCATTACTTTCTAAACATTTACTTTCTGTTTGAGCCCTTGTTTCTATTATCTTTTAATTCTGTTTTTCTACAAACTTAAAGCCGTTCGTATTTGAGAAATATCCCATTTTGCGAAGAGAATTTCACAAGTGGGATTCCTGGTTGTTAGAAATTTCTTCTGGCAGTGTACCAAAATGCGTGTATCCCTTTATACTGCCATTAACAGGATGAGTGGAGGATTACATCCTTAAGATTCTTCCTAAGATTCTTACTAGGTAGTATCTTTGTATAACTGTAATGCTAATGGTTTGTCTTCTGTCAAAATTCCTCAGAGTGTGGTCAAAATAATCCAGCCAAATGACCTACGACATGACATTGAAAGAAGGCGAAGGGAACGTTTGCAGAATGAAGGAGATGGAGATGGGCACGATTTTTACATCGATGGTGCTGCTGAAAGGTAATTGGTGGAGGACCAAACATCTGCCTGCTTTCAGGGAGTTTGGGTTTCATCAGATGTTTTCAAATTTTTGTTATTTGGTTTTAGTATAGGGGTTTGGCTTTTCAGATTCATTTCATATGTTTAAGTGAATGCTTTAAAAACATTTCCAAGTTATTCAGTGACTATCATACTGTTTTATTTAAATGAACAGAAAATCATGAGAGCAGGGGAGTACTTGAGGTCTTCCTCGTTCTAGAGTAGAATGTACCGACATTTTATTAGCAGATGCCAGAACCAATACCTTTATGGCCTTGTTTTGCTAAGTTTACTGAGACTCATCCCTTTAGATCTTGATATTCTTTGGATAGTACAGAATTTCTTGAGGCCAGTACAATTTTATTGTGGGACCCTCCTTAGATGCTTGTCCATGAAACAGGGAGATGGAATAGAAGATTCAGGGGAAACCCGAGTTTAGTTTGAATCTCAACAGCTGCCAGCTTATGAGTTCTTTGATCTTGGGAAAACTTGCTTAGTCTCTGGATTCTCTCAATCTATAAAATGAGAATAAGCATATTTATGATGAGAGGAAGTTACGAATGGTAAATGAGCTCGCACCGGTGAAGTACTTATGCCATGCATAAGTAGATCTTTGTTTTTTCTCTGCCAACCCTGTTCCTCTTTTTGGTGCTGTGTGTAACCTAGATTGGCCCCAGTTTATCTTTAGTTATGAAAACTATATAGACGTCATAGCAGTTCTGGGACGCCACATAATTAGGAAGTAGAATTGAATGAGGTAAAATTGCTAGTTTGTACAGATTCGTCATAGATTATTTGTATCTCCCCCAAAATAAGAACATAAGAAATAGGAAATGCCAGAAGCATTTGATTTTCTGTGGTCCCTAGTATCAAGCGACTCCAAAGCTATTTAACCAGACTGTATATCAAATTTTAGTCTCAGTCATGATACATGGAGCTTGTTTAAAGCTGGAGCAGATTTTAATGCTAAGTTTGAGACTAATTAAAAGACAGCAAAACTTTTTGTTGGGGTGTATGAAACAGAATTGAAAATATTGTTGAATTAGCCAGCAGTTCACTTCCTAAAGCAGGGCCTCTAGAGAGCACAAGGAGTATCATGGGAGAGAGGTGGACTCTGCCAGGGAGAAGAAGGGTTGTGGAGATGGGGTTTCTAGAACTGGAGGAGAACTCAGAAGAGGAAGGACCTACCCTGTACCCCCACCCCCGCCTCCAGGCTGCCCAGGAAGATGGGGGGAAGAAAGGTGTGCTACTGAGATATTAGCAAAGAAGTTTCTGGGCTAGTGTGACATGAGACTTTAGTGACAACAGGAGAGGGGAGCCTATTGTTTGTTGTGGGGTGCAGCAGTGTCAGAGGCCCGTCTGCCAATGAGGCAACCCTGAACCAGCCACATGCCTGACCTCCAATGAATGAGCTGAGCCCTAAGCCATTTGTGTGTTTACCACCAGAGCCTGTCAGCCAGGGCTGTGCAGTGCGGAGGAGCTAGAGCAGGGCTTCTCTTCCTGCCCTCAGCACAGGCAATTTCAGGGCTTTACAGTCCTCCAGAGCCCTCGTCCAAAGAATGTCGTTTCCTTCCATTGCTCACTTCCAACTCAGCTTAATTATTTTAACCCTGACAGCTATTACTGTTTTCATAGTAATTTATAATTGAGATTTTACTATTGTGCTACATTAATTCTCTGAAGTAGGGGGATATTTTTATTGTTCATTTGTTGCATAAAGGTGACCTATATAATTTTTATTGTCACACTTTGATTTTACTAGGGGTGATACCCATTTCAGTGTGTCAAAATCAAAGAAGGCATATACTGGTGGATTCAGCAAACCTGTACGTTTTTTAAAAAAATCTAATTTTGGATTTTCCCCCCACAAATCTCAGAGGGTCAGATTATAGTTTCAGAACCTTCACTTTTGTCCATTCCATTCTCCTCACACACTTCTGCAGTAGGACCCCTGATATTCTTCATATCTATAACTCTTCGTTAAGTACTATACAGACTCAAGTATTAGCAGAGTTTTTCAGCACATTCATAATGCAGTTTTTGTGGTAAAATTAGGTGCCTCAGCTGATATTCGGGTCAGCTTATACTGGAGTATATACGGTACATGTTATAAGAATTTGTGGAGGCTTAAAATTACAATAGAAGAGATGGGGATCTCATATTTTATTTTATTGGAGCCATTAAAATTTTAGTGCTAGTGGAAGCCTTTAAAAATAACTTTAAAATGTAAATAAAAATATGCTAAAATTTACTTACCATAAAACTACTTATTTTACGTAGTACAATTTTTTGGTAGATTTTCAGTAAATGTCTGAGATATATAACTATTACCATACTACTATTCTAGCACATTCTCATAATATAACTAGTAAAACCCTATGAAAAACCATGGGCCAGTCTGCAGCCAATTGTGGGATGGCACCATTTTGTCTATTGTACATGAGGTGATCCATGGGGTTTTCATTGACCGACTTTTGGAAGTAGGTCATCAAGTCTTTTTTCCTAGCCCATGTTTGTCTGGAAACTACTCTGTAATCCGTACCTCATCCCAGCAACACTAGAGGCTCCACTGGCAGGCAAGCAGTGGATACAGATGAGGTCTATTGTCCGGAAATCAAACTCAGGTATTTTGTGTGGAGGGTGAGAGTTCTACCATCACACCACCACTCTCCTTATGTAATGATGATATTGGTGGTTGGTGCCACCAAATCAGATCCCACTCACAGCGATCTTGTGTACACCAGAAGAAAATGTTGCCTGTCATTCTCACAGTCCCATTGTAGCATTGTAGCTCACTGTTGTGGCCACTGTGTCAGTCCATCTCACTGGAGGTCTTCCTCTTTTTTGATGATCCTCTACTTTACTAAGCATGTTGTCCTTCTCCAGAGACTCATTTTCCTGGTAATATGTCCAAAGGATGTAAAATGAAGTCTTGCCATTCTCGCTTCTAAGCCTTCTAGCTATACTTTATCCAAGATAGATTTGTTTATTCTTTTGACAGTCCACAGTACTTTGAATATTACTTGCCAATACCATAATTCAAAGGCATCAATTATTTGATCTTATTCACTGTCCAGCTTTTTGCATGCATATGAGGCAATTGAAAACACCATCGCTTTTTTTCTCAGTGGGGAGGGGTGGTGTAAAAAGGAGCTGATGTCAAGGAGTTCAAGAAGGAAGAGAATTTAGAAACTGATTGTTGTAGCAATTGTACAATACTGCTTGCTGTGATTGAACTATGGAACAATAATTATATCTGTATTAGCTCCCAATTTAAAGAAAAAAGAAAATACCATAGCTTGGGTCAGAAGCACTTCAGTCCCCAAACTGATATCTTTGCTCTTTAACACTTCAAAGACATCTTTTTTCCCCAAAGACATCTTTTACAGCAGATTTCCCAGTACAATATGTCATCTGACTTATTTCTTTTTCTAAAAAAAAATCATTTTATTGGGGGATCTTACACATCTTACACATTGCTTCCATGAGCATTGATTGAAAAATGAAATCCTTAATATTTTATCCATTTGCCATGATGAGAGGGTTTTTGTTGTCTTTATATTGAGGTTTGTAGTCTGGCTGCAATCTAAAGGCTGTAGTCTTTGATCCTCATCAGTAAGTGCTTCAAATCCTCTCACTTTCAGTAAGCAAGGTTATGTCATCTGCATATCATAGGTGGTTAATAAGCCTTATGCCAATCTTGATGACATATTCTTCATTTAGTCTAGCTTCTTTAGAGTATTTGCTCAGTACACAAATTAGATAAGTATGGTAAAAGGATATGAACCTGACACTCAAACTTTCCTTATTTTAAACCCTTTTTCCGTTCAAACCCTTGTTCTGTTCGAACGACTTCCTTCATAGGAGAACAACGAAGTGTTCTGGAATCCCTATTCTTCCTAATTAGGTTTTCAGAAATAGCTAGCCATAGAATATATTGTAAACATGCTTCACACCACCTTTAACCTCTTGAATAATGAAGCATGAAATCAAGTGAAAATTTGATGTCTGCATAATGGAGAGAGAGACAGTGTAGAGAGTGATTCAGATTTCTAGTTCGAGTTTGTGTTCTCTTTGAACTGATAAGAGTTGATTGTAGTACTTTACTAAGATTAGCACAAGACTTATGAGCATTTCCCGTTACCGACCCTCTCCCCTTATGGAAGGTTTGATAACATTAATTATTAAGAAAAAAATTCAGAATATGTGCAATGTTTCCTTTTAATTAATTGTTTAAAAATTTGTAATATTACGTGATTGTTTAAGATCTCACAATCCTTTAGGTTAAAATAGTGGAAATAATTTCTTCTAAGAAAAGAACGATTTTGTTAAAATTTAATCTTCATTTGAATTCATAGAGTTCAAAGTCAGATAGTGTGTAAAGGGCACAAAGGACAAATATGACCTTCTCTGGCTTGAGTAGAGAAGAGAATCCAACTCCTCACCAACCCAGGCTGATTGCCATGAGGCAGTGGGAAGACCTTCTTCTACCCTCCTTCATCTTTCTTTTACCTTATCCTGACATGAACCATTCCTCTCAGAACATTCTACTCTCTACTGGGTTCAATAATCCATTGTAATTGTCACATATAACTGACAGCTAATACTCACAATTAAGAGGGTTTATTAGGGAAGTTACCAGGGTAATCACAAGTCAGAATCAGTGAACCGTAAGGATGCAGTCATTGGTCCCCAGCAACACCTCTCCTCAGTCAAGTCTCTCAGCCTCTCAACACGTGGCCCCTTGGCTTTGTCTCCATGGGCCAGGAAGCCAGTCCATTGCTCTGCCTCATACTTTCATAGGCTTACTGGTGCTTCTCTGTTCTATCTCATGATCTCTGTGCCTCTGGTCTGTCGCCCCCCACTTCAGACAGATTTCGAAAGTGTTCCACCTGTAACCTAACCTTGTATTCAGCTAAAACTGACCAATCCCCTCATTAGTGTTACACACGCCTTGCTTGCATGATCCTACCCAGTCATTTGGAGGTTGTTAGAGACATGGGTAAAAGAATCACAAGAAATTTCACTTCACACATGGTAATTACATCATTATAGAGGTCGAAATGGAATCTTCTCAATCTCAAGACTGGTTTTACTATATCCAGTTTGAGAAGATAGTTTAATACAAGCATAATATTCCATCAGAAATTCTGCTTTTTTGTTTGTTCTTTGTTTTTTGTAGTCTTAGGAAAATAATTGGAAGGTAGGACTGATATATATAAATACATTTAAACAAAGGTTTTTTGCTTTATTGTGTACAACATTTCAATTTCTAAAATAATTCCAGTGCAAAATACATCTTCCCCTTTAGCTTCTTGAATATTACCCTGGTGGTGTAGTGGGTTATGCATTGAGCTGCTAACCACAAGGTTAGCTGTTTGAAAGCACCAACCACTCCAGGGAGAAAGATGAAGCCTTCTATTCCCATATAAAGAGTTAGGGTCTTAGACCTGGAACTAACTATCAGTTTTGTTCGTTTGTTTCTTTTGACCTATGTCTGTCTATATAAGATAGGCAGGACAAATAATACTGAGGAGAAAACAGCGGGACCGGTCCTGGGGGAAATGGGAGAGGAAAGGGTTAGGGTTGACTTGTCTCACATCCTGGGGCATGGTGTCAGAAGACGCCAGTCCCTGGAGGAGGACATTACGCTTGGCCAAGTAGAGGGTCAGGGTAAAAGAGGAAGGCCCTGGACTAGATAGATTGACAAAGTGGCTACAACAATGGGCTCAAGCATAACAATTATGAGGATGGTGCACGACCGGGTCATAATTTGCCCTGTGATACTAAGGGTTGCTTGTAGTTGCGACTGACTCGATGGCACCTGACGACAACAACAACTAACTTGTCATTTGATACCTGCCTTGATGTGTTCTGTTCTCAAACTTTGAGGTTACATGTACCTCTGGGGATCTTAGGTACAAATAGAAGCATATAAATTAAACTATTTTGAAAATTACACTGTAAGCAAAACTCTAGCTCTGGCTAACTGTGGAGTTCTGATTCTTCCTCTGAGTTCTGTATTTCCTTTTGTTTTCTCTTATCAGGGATATAGAAAGTAGACCACCGAATTCTAATCTGGGGGTGCTACATCGAAGATGATCCTACAGGTCAAGTGTTCGGGAGCCTCTCCTTTTATAGGAGATCAAACGTATAGTAAAGCACTAATACTGTAACTTTCCTTATTAAAATAACTTGTTTAACATAGTGAAATGCTGCACATTTTTCTAGTTGCTTAACAATTATTTTTAAATTACAATATTGAATTTAAAAGTTGTATTAAACTACAGTTGGCTTTGTTTATATTGGTTTTGCAAAAAGTCAAAAGAACCCCCTTGGAGGGCATGATTTTTGGAGCTTTTTTCTTTTTGGTGTGTGCATGGTTTGGTAGAGAAAACATACTGTGTTACCGCCAGTCAGTTATGTTGAAAGTTTTCCTTTTGTCATAAAAAGAAAAGTTTTTGAAATTTGTAATGTTCACATAAGAAATAACTTGAAACAGTGGCCTTATGGTACTCGATTTTATATTGAGTTTTTCCTTTTTCCTTATGGCACTTGGGTGTACAAACTTGAAGTTTCATTCAGTTTTTTTAAATTAAGGCCTCTTTATTTCTTATTTTATTTTTAAGGCCTCTACTTACATTTCATGTTAAGATGTAAGAAGACTAGTGAAAAGGTGCTTTAATCAGCTAGTTATGAGTGCAATGATTTTTTTTCTAACAAGTTTGTTCTGTTTGTTCCTACAACTATTTTCCTCATTTCAAATTTCAAAATGCAACAGTGGAAACAATGAAAAGATTTTATAATCTATATTCCATCACTATTTTTCCCTCAGGGTAAGCTTATGCATACCATATTTTTAAAGGCTCTAAATTTTTTGACAGATACAGTCTCTTATTTGAAAATTGTACTTTAGTCTACTACAGTATTGCCTTTTGCAAGTAAATCTTAAAAAGCATTTATGTTCAGTTCATCTGGTGTGTACAAAGTCCCTGCTTTGTGTAGGACAAAACTTTGGAGAGTTTAAGTGAAATATTAAGCCCCTAGTACTTTATTTGTGCTTTAATTCTTCTGTTTATTCCCTGTTAAAGTTTTGTGAAATGTTTACTTGCTATGGAATAAAATCTTGTTTCCACTTGAGAAATACCTGGCAGAGTGTTTGAGCTTTATTCTAATTTGATATGAAACTTACAGCCTTGGGTGTACAGTCTGTTGATATAATTTTCACTTAAAAAGGCCACTTTCTACATTGAGATATAAAGGTGATAGGAACTTGGATTTTCATGACAGGATTGTGCAAAGGTCCTATTACGGACATTTCATTTTCACTTAACTCTGAGGTGGGTTAGTGCTAATTTGGGGGTGGGGGGATGTGGGGTGGAGAATTCTTGATTCATTGCGAATGGCTTCTTATGCTGCACACTGTCTCTATAGGTTCAGTTTTCCACACATATTTAATATTTTACTTTAGTAAAAGGAAATGTGGGCACCTAAGATGACAGCTTCCTGTTTTGTTTGGTACTTAAGAAATCTGTTCTCAGTTTTTATAAAAATAATTTCATTCTCATATTCGGGTGCATGCTGTTGAGCTTTGAATATTTATACTTTTAACAAATACTTATAGCACACATGCTAAGATGATAGCAATGGCCAAACTAGGACACATGGGCTTCACGTGTATGGTACAAGCAGTCTAATAGGGAAATCCTGATACACAGAGAATTGAAACTCTTTAGGCAACAGTGGGTCTAGTGCTGTTTTTATTGTGCCGCTGTAATATATAATGGTAAGATGGTTGACTCAATAGTCATCATCATACAGCTGGTTTTCTGGTTAGGCATATTAGGATCAACTTTTGGCATTATCCTAAAATGCATACCATGCTGCTTGCATAATACAAATTGATAGCATCTGTATATTCAAAAGACATTGAATGTATAAGTTCTAAAGCTTAACAAGACTTACTTTATAATTTGGAATATAAAATAATGACATGAACCATGTCTGCCTTTTTTACCATCTCCAGTGCCCACTGTCAGACTTGAACTCCTTCAATATTAGTTGGATGAATAGAGTGGAATATGCGTACTGGGTACAAACATCTAATTTTCACATGGGGGTTAGACAAAACAGTAACCATAACACTTTATCGGCTGAAAGGACCTTGAATTCTCTAATGCCTAAGAGTATTGTTGATGTTAGTTGCTCTCAAGTCTGTTTCAATTCATGATAACCTCATGCAAAACAGAACAAAACGCGTCTGTTCCTACACTGTCTAGGTAATCGGTGTTTTTTGTTTTAGCCCATTGAATCTGACTTCAGAAGAGAGGGGGGTTGGTGGTGTGTTTTCAGGCCACCTTGTATATCATCGCCCTCATGTGGTGGACCCTGCGTTGGTACTGGAAGATGAAACATTCTCTGCTGTGAAGAGTTTAAAACTGTTGGGAAGAGATTCACAAAATAAATGAACAGTAATATAGAATAATAAGTACTTAAATAGATATATGAACTGAAAGTGGAGTGAAAAATTGGCATCTCTGGTCAAATTTCTCTCCTATTGGCTTCACAAATCTCAGAAGGCACTGTGTTGATGGTTCTCTGTTTAAAAACTGATGGGTTGGCAGAGACCCGGTAAAGTATATTATGACTGCATTGAATCTACACTTAACTCAATAAAATTTTCAATTAAAAAAACCAATCTTGCCACCAACAAAAACTTGAAAGTATTTTGGAAGGTAGATTTTTCAACGTTCTATTAGAAAACAACTTTGCATTTTGCTTCTAACCAACTTTGTCCGCTAAGCTCTGTCAAGTGATGTGCCTACAACAATTTATGTAGGTCATAACATGGGCCACATTTTATCCAATAAATGCCATGCTTTTAAAGGGTTTTTTAAAGTTTACTGGTCCCTACCAGTACTCTCACCCCCTCCTTGCCACTAATTTTGGATCACTTCTTGCTCACTTGTCCCTGGGTTGGTCAACACCACCTCCTTTCCCCCACCTCCCCCTCTCCCATGTCCCCTCGGAACCATCAGTCCATTGTTTTCTCCTTGAACTGTTCATCCAGGCTATCTTATCTAGATAGATCTGCAGAGATAATAATATGCACCAAAAAACAAGGCATAGCAAGACAAAGCGACAAAAGAACACATCGATGAAAACAACAAAAAAAACCCAATGACCAAGAAAAGAATAAATTAATTTTTTTAAAAAAAATTAAAAATAATAAAAAATGAAAGGAAAACCTGGAAATAGATCAATGTCTGAGTTTTGGCCTCTGGCCGTGTGCTCCAGTCAAGTCCCATGGGGTGCAATGCTCTGGCCCCAGAGTCTGTCCTTTGCACTCTCTCAGAAGCTCTTTGCTCTGCTTCCACCCCACACCCCCACCCCCACCCGCACCCCCTGTGTTTTGCTTCTGTGTGGTGGGGTCAGACCGGGCCAATCCCGACACTGAGTCTCCAGTGTTGTCCCCCACGGGGCCATGGGTCAGCGAGGGACATCATGTCTCATAGTGGGATCACCCATATGGTCCATTCTGCATTGACTGTTCAGAGTGGGATATCATCCTTCAGGCCTGGTGGGCCAGAAAGTGCTCCACTCTTCCTCCCCCTTTATTTGCTCCCATGTGCTCTGATCTAACATGTCCCTCTCCCGGAGCTGCAGATTCAGTGCCATAACAATCCAGCAAATGTGCTTTGAGTCTCCACTCTGGACTCCCCCCTCATTTACAACGATAAGATTTTTTTGTTCTTTGATGCCTGATACCTGATTCCTTCGACACCTCGTGGTCACACAGGCTGGTGTGCTTCTTCCATGTGGGCTTTGTTGCTTCTGAGCTAGATGGCCAGTTGTTTATTTCGAGCCTTTAAGACCCCAGGCACTATATCTATTGATAGCCGGGCACCATCAGCTTTCTTCACATTTGTTAATGCACCCATTTGTCTTCAGTGATCGTATCAGGGAGGTGAGCACACAATGATATGATTTTTTGTCCTTTGATGCCTGATAACTGATCCCTTCGGCACCCCATGGTCACACAGGCCAGTGTGCCTCCTCCATGCAGGCTTTGCCGTCTCTGAGCTAGATGGCTGCTTCTTGTCCACCCTCAAGTCTCAAAGACCCCAGATGCTATATCCCCCAACAGCCGGGCTCTACCAACTTTCTTCACCACATTTGCTTATGCACCCGCTCTGTCCCCAGCGATCCTGTCAGGAAGGTGACCATCATGGAATGTCAGTTTAAAGAACAAAGCATTCTTGCATTGAGGGAGGGGACACTTTTCTTTCATAGACTTTATCTCGGTCCAGTGGGTTATCACTGCCTGCGATTCGTCTCCCCACATTGCCACAGGTGGGTAGGTTTATTTAAGTATGTGATGTCTTGACTTCTTAAAAAATGATTGATTTGGCATAAATACATAAAATATAAATTCATCTTACTGGTGTTCATAAAACATTTTACTGATACAAAGAGTATAAAGTCTAATATGTACAAGGGTACAGCCGCAATATATATATATATATGTATATGTGTGTATATATATATATATATGTATATATATATTAGTGACCCAATAGGACAGGGTAGAATTGTCTGTGAGTTTTAGAGACTAACTCTACAGGAGAAGCATGCCTCATCTTTCTCCCGAGGAGTGGCTGGTTTCAAACTTATGACCCTGAGGTTAACAGTCCGACACGTAACCACTATGCCACCAAGGCTCCTCCATAAATAATTTATGTAAAGTAAAATTTAGTTATTTTTCATGTTTTTTCTAAGCATAGTTGTAGTTGAAGTAATACTTCATATTTAGTTTTTGCAGATAGTCACATATGAGTATTAAAATGTAATTTGGGGATAACATTCAAGTGTACTGTTGTTGAGGACAAGGAAGGAGTAAGATACCGTTCCCAGAAAGATACATATGTTTTAAAGAATCCTGAATGACCATATCAAAGCTAAGGGTGTTTCCCCTGCCATACATAAATTTTAAATATTTGAAACACAATTACATTTTATAGATCATTTAAAAAAGCAAATTCTGGCCTGAAATGTGAATCCCTTGTAATCCTTACTAAAATTACCAGTTAGTAGAGAAGATACGGACTCTTCAGTGTTGTGAAGCTATTGCTGATGAGGATTTCTGCTGGGAATGACAGGCCACCCAGTGCTGTTAACGACCTCACATACAGTGGGAGAAGTTGCCACGCTGACCTGACAGTGGCCCAGGTACCAGCCTCCTCTGTGGGTCTTCGGATGACTGCTTTTGCTGTCTGAATGTGTTCCCATCATTTGGGATGGATGTATTAAGCTTCAGTCTTGTAATGTTGAAAACGTCTCCCCCCTTTCCATGGGTACCGTTAC